TTAACAAAAGATGAGGTATTTTATTTTTATTGGACCACATAAGAAGTGAGAATATTGTAAATTCCCCTAATGAGGATCTAAGTATTATTCTTAATTAAATGAATAATGATCGGGAGATCGATGAATTAACCCTAGATAAGTATCGAATCTGACTGTGTTTTTGTTCACCTTATCTAGTTAAAAAGTTTAAAAAAATAATTATTTAACACGTTATAAGAATGACCAACCACGTCAAATTCTATACTAATTCGGTGATTCCTTTTCGATTCCCCTATCATTACTCTAATTAAATACATATATAACGAATAATTGTCTAACAATAATTGTATTGGGAATACTTTTTTCTATTAAATATTTTCTCTCTCATTATATACGTTTTTTTCCTCCCTCTCCTACACACATTACAGTAGTCTCTCCATCCGAAGTCACTAATCTCACTCTATCCTTACTCCATCTCCTATTTTCTTTATTCTCTCACATATTTTGATATTTTGAGACTCTTTTAGAATTTAAAATATTAAAAGGGCAGTTTTATAGTGTTTGCCTAAGCCCTCAAATTAGACTCAAATTTTTTTATTTATTCATTCTCTCTCCATAGAAAAGTCATTAATTTTTGCCTTCCATGTTAAAGAAAGAGTAAAGGGAAGAAAAAAAAAATTAGTGTTTGAGCATCTTACTATGTTTAATTTAAAATACTATAATGTTGCTTTTGGCTGCGTTGGCATTGAAATTTGAATTAAAAAGTTAGGGTTAATAGTTTTGTCTCTTGTACTCTTTATTTTCTCTATAATTTAGTTTATTTTTTCTGTTTATTGAAATTTTCTAATTAGTTTTATTTATCTTTACTTGAGCTTTAAGGATGACAACTTGTGTACACTGGTCTGGATCCGTTTTATAATTAGGACATCCCAAACTACAAGAATAGAAGTGTTGCCTGAAACAATCACTCTAAAATCTTAAAACGGATGCTAGTTAACGCTTACATATGCCAAATTCCACGAATTTAATACCAGACAATACTTACTTACTCATTAACCACTGATATTGACACAAAAATAGAGCAATAAATCCTTTCAAAATGAAATAATAAAATATAAAAAAAGTGAGAGGGTACCCGATCAAATATACCCTATCCCCAATCTTAAAACTCAAAATGAACCACTCAAATCTAAAATATTTCCCATTAAATAAAAGCCCTAAATGTTTTTAAATGCTTTTTAGAGTGTGGTAGGGATTGGTGTGGTCCAACCTAATTATATGGGCCTCATGGACTCTCCAACCCACCTAAGAAAGTTGCTATTGTGGGGATAAAGCAAGCATGATAGGTAGGCATAGATACCTATGGATCACAAGTTCAAAACAGGATACTGGCCAACATTTTGACTTTAATAATTATTTATATAGTTAATTTCACTTACGCTCCTCAAGATGGGCCGAATATCATATTGAATCATCTTTTAAAAATAATTATCACTCGCATATAATAGTTTACTCCGTTTTTCACATGCACCCTAAAAATTACTTTTCAAGTGTGTCAGATACCTTTTGCATATAAAATGACATTGCTACCCTTCTAACTATTTGTTGACTTAAATAAAGGTTGAAATGACTTGAATACCCTTTGACTTCATTATATAAATGTAAAATTATTCTTTATATATATATATATATATATATATATATATCTCATTTTTCAAACCAACCAAATATAATTATAAATTTATAATTATTTTTTAAAATTATTCTTTATTATAATTATAAATTTATAAATATTTTTTAAAATTATTCTTTATTTATACATTTCTCATCATGTATATCAAAAAATATATTTTTCTCGAGAAAAGAGTGAGATGGAGAGTTTTGAGGTTGACAAAGTAATAAATGAGGACAATTTGGTTATTTTAATCATTTGATATTTTGAATCAAAATAGATTTAAAAAATAGGGATAAAATTGTCATTTTGCACCTTTTTAACGGAAAATGAAATTGGGTATGAGTGATAGTTAATTTTGAAAGATATTTGAGGGTAATATTTAGCCGAACCTGAGAGGGTGTCAATGAAATTAACCCTTATATATATATATATATATGGTTCATAGTCATGCAGTGTAACGGATTCGGGGTGAATATCAGTATAAATCAGTCGGCTCACGAATGTGTGCAATGGTATTAAAGCCTTAAAAAAGAGTTACGAATTGGCTGATACGATAAACCATGATATATACACTGGAATTAGATTTTTTTGTGATACATATTTGCATAGTTTATATATACAATCATACAAGTAGTGGTTGGAAAAGAAGTGATTCCACTGTTGAATTGATGATGGCCTTCAATTTAGGGACAACCGGACGAGTGGGCCTCAGCCCACACCAATAGAACATCAATCAAAACAACCGTCTTTCTTTTTGTTATATAGTGAGCTGTCACATAAGCCCAATCTGTGACACAGATTTTCATTTTTATATATTAGATTTTGTAACAATCAAGGAAAATTATTGAACCATAATCATTCACTAAACTCAGACAAATTAGGGCACAATATCACCATGAACGCACCTTAAAAATAACAAGCTTGCAACATATTTTAGACTTCCTTTTTTATATTATTGGATCATTTAATAAGTTGTTAATAATCATGACATAATCATCTCATCATGGATGATTCTAGCATTTGAAGTCAACTGTATATCAATAAATTATCTAGTCCAAATAAATGTTCTTATCATAGACAGATTTGTCATTTATTATTAACCAATTCCACCTCAATTATTGAAAAAAAAAAAAAAAAAAAAAACTCAGTCTTGGTTCATATGAGATTAAAATCCCATGGCGTTTTAGAAAATCTAAACTCGCCTATAAAAAATTTAATCAAACAAGCTACTCTTTCGCAAAAATGTAACATATCATTGTAACGTGGTATAACTTAATTGGTTCACATCACCCTGAACTTGACCAGTCATATTCTGTAACAATTATATAATATTATAAAACAATAAAAATCACATGTGATGAAAGACATTCTTTTTCGTAATTTAATTCAGGACAATACATGTGTCGTACCACAATCGAATCATCCAGAGGACCACCACCAAGCAATACCTCATGATCTTTTTAAAACAAGGAGAGTGACATTAAACCACCATTCTAGGGTCCCAAATGTCAAACCAACTTAACTAATTGCTCCTTTAAAAATGGCTGTACTATATATATGTGTGTGTATGTGTGTTGATATAGGAGTAGTACAATGTGTGTAAATATATACGCACATTGTATACAAACACGAGGGTCTCAATTCTCAAATGTCAAACCAAATTAACTAAATGCTTCTTTATGTTTGTGATCCTTTTAAATATAATACAATATATGTATATTATATACATTGTACACATATATATTATAGGGAGAGAGGATAAAGCCCCATTCTTGATGAGACAATATAATTAGCCATTTGAATATAATATCTAGAAACAATTTTTTAAAAAGCTACAGTAACTAACATGTGAATTTTTTTGAATCTAAATATTATTCTTAGAGGAACACTAATAGTAAAAAGTGTTGACTTTAAAGCATGATTGATGCATAGATAAATCAACATTTAACTCCATGTTGGAAAAAAACAATTATAGACCTATAGATATAAATTTATTTATGGTGAATTGATGATTATTGTATATTCTAGTGGTGGTTTAAAGATCTAAAAAGCAGGCCAAAATTGAAAAAGATAGGAAATGGAGACACTAAACAAATGACTTTTCGTGCAAGACCAGGATTCTGCTGATTTTTAGGATCCACAATATGTAAAAGCAATACTATTATTATATCCGGTCAATCACACATTATTATAAAAAAAAATTCTAAATTCGTACTGTTTAGACGGATCGGTCAATCACACATTATCTGAGAAGAAACTTCTATGACAATATCAAAAGAACGTTGGGATACGCACTCTGACATCGGTTTGATGGCTTTGATATGAGTAAAAAACAACGTTACGATAACGTTAGCAAGTATTAACGAGAAAATAACTTGAATCCTCAACTATTATTGATTATAATATAAGTAAAAGATAACATTATAATAACATCAACACGTGTTTAAAAAGAGCACAACTCGAATACTTAATCTATGTTTCAAAAAGATAGAGAAAACACGTGGCAGATGTCAATTGTATATTTTAATATAATTTATAAAGATATACAGTCCCTTTTTATCTCTAATTGCTACATTAATTACTTTTTTTGGTTAAAAAGGATTCATTTGCTTTTCCCTCGGATTTGTGTATGATTATGGTGAAGCAATGAGTTGATACATATATGTAAACATTGATTGAGGAGTCCAATCACTAATGTCATATTGAATGGCCTAAATAGAACAAGTTGTTTTATTTATTAGCCACTTGTTTCCTCAATCAAAAATGATTCTACAAAAAATGGATCTGTTCCTCTCACGGTCCTTTCTGGGCCCACTTCAAAATGGTGGGCCTCCCATAAGGCCCTTCAGAATTGATTCCGCGTTAACAGATCAAATGTAAATTAATAAAAAAAAACTTTTTTTTTTTTTTTCACTCCCCCAAGAAAAGGATGAATATCATCAAGTAAAAAACAATTCTATTCTTTTGGGGGCATTATAAATTCCAACCTCCAACCTCTTGAATTCAATTCTCAACATAAATGATACGTGTAGTCTTTTGGAGCAAATTATAAATTCGGACATTTTAATTCAATTTTCACAATACACAAAAATATCTGAGTTTAAATAATATATGTAGTTGGGTCCATATTGACGGTTTGACTCTCCATTATAAAAAATAAAAAAAAAATAGTCTGAACTAAGAATTTCTATATCCTCATCAATTAGATCACGAAGAGAAAACTATGAGAGCCGAAACACAGTAAGCCTCATTTGCTTTAAAAGAGAAAACACAAGAGAGAAAACTTTATGGACAATAGAATTAATTATAAACGCGGAGGTCCAAAGCATAAAAACACAACAACATATAAGTGGGGTCTCCTGGCGCGAACAGTATATTCGGATATTCAGATTCGATTCTCACAAAACACAAAAAATTTGAACTTAAATGATACATGTGGTTCAGTCATTTCTATATCCTCATCAATTAGATAACGAGAAAAAGTTAGAGAACACAAGAGACAAACTTTATGGACAATGAAATTCATTATTATTATTATTATTATTAAGGGTCATAAATTTTATCTTAATAATTCCAAGATTTACAATTAATCATAAATTTTGATCATATTAAAATCCCAAGATTTACAATTAATTAATAATATTCATTGAGTGATAAAAAGGGATTTACAATGAATCATAATCATCATCTTGGAGATTTAAGAGATTCAACTTGGGATTTTCCTTGGGGACCCCTCGTCCTTATGTAGAGTCTGTATTCATCAAAAGTCATTGGTGGGTAGAGAGCTGGTTTGTCAGGTGTCACCAGCTCTTTCGCTGGTTCTATTAGCAAATCACTTCTTGGATTATAGAAAAATGCAAGTGATACTCGTTCCATGCCTGATACTATTACTCTGTGCTCTATACTCTTGTATATTGCATTGCTTAGTACCTAAAAACATAAACAATACAACACAACTCAGTCAATATATATATATATATATATATATATATATACACCATGTACTTTAAGTATAAACACGGATATTTATCACACACAAAGCAATTTATTATTTCACCAAAAAAATAAAAAAAATCTAGATAATAACAAGGACTTAGGATTTGCTTTTGTTACGTGTTTTAAAGAGTGGTTTGAACAAGGTTTTTTTGTAAACCTAAAGTCAATTAAGCACTTCATCCATCCCTAAATGCCTAATGTCTAAGAACACCATATCCATGTCTTGAATTTGTAATCGAGGAATTTCAGTATAAAATTTGAACTAAAATATTTCAATTTCAAATCCAAAGCCTTCGGTACTCCCAAATGCAAGGTAACAATTTTTGATAGATTAAGCAATTCCTTCCATCCATAAATGCCTAATGTATAGGGATACCAAATCGGCATCTTGAATTTGGAATCAATATTTGAACAAAATTTCTTCCAATTTCAAATACAAGGCCAGATTTAGTGTTTTTAAATGCAAGGTAACAGTTTTTGGTAACGGAATGCAAATATTAGAAATTTTTTTACTCCGTGTGAACACTAGGGATGCACTATGCTGATTATTGGTGTTGCACAGCAAAAGGGTAGCTAATAATTAACAAAATAACAACTAGGAAAGGAATGGGGGAAATTCAATCACGTTTTTAGAAAGGCTATTCTTAGGTCAAACAAGGACATGGAAAACTTTACACTAGTTAAAATATATAGAACGTCACAGTGTGGAAAAAATAAAAACTATTGATGAAAATGACTTTCTTGACAATGCTCTGCTGGGAATAGTGTGGCAAAATATGATTAATTAGGAGTTATAATAAGGTCAAGACAAGAACAGTATCAGAAAAATGTGAAGATGTGATCCTTTAGCATTTTTAATGACATTTTATTGACTTGAGAAAAGGGGGAAATGTGTATTTCTTAAGAAATTACAGCAAATGATAAATAAAAAAAAAGAAAAAAAAGAGAAAAGGTAAAGTGCCAAAATCCCTTCTTATTTAGTATGTTCATATAAATTCCTATAATTTGAATTTTTTTAGCAAATTGCTCCCTAATCGTTAATTTTGACCAATTTCAAAATATCCTTAGGCTGGGTTCTGATGTATGGAATTGGAGTCTTGGAATTGGAATTTGTAAAATTGCAGAAGATTTTGGCTCAATTTTGCGAGTTGCTTTTCTCTAATTTCAAATTTTCAATTTCATACAACCGAACACAACCTTAATAAAATTTGTGCATATAAGTTTTTTTATATTTTGCTTTAAGGGCATTTTAGATATTTTAGTCTTCAAATTTTTTTTTTAAATTTTAAAAAATGTCCTTATTTGCTCAATTTGTAAAATGTAGGTTTTTTTTTAAACACGATGGAATTTTTTGCACATCCTGTATATATATACAAGGTTTTTTATTTATGTTTTTATTTTTTTACAATAAAAAATAAATTAATAAGGACATAAGGAGTAAAGTAGTCACTACAGTGCTAAAAAGACATTAAATCGTAGTTTATTCGAGTGTGTAAAACATGCATGTTTATCCAGTTTCCACAATTTTAAAATAAATTATAAAAAGGAAAACTATTTGATTATTTTTCTTAGTATATATGGTCTTCCATTCCAAGTGGAGCAAGTTGGAAGAGTAGTCATTGATGTCTCCGGACAATGTACTATGCATGGTTGTTGACATAGAGGGCCACATTAAATGTATCGAATTTAGTTTCATATAAAGTAACTGAGTCACACAGGTAAATAACTTGTTCTGTTTATAGATATATATTGTTATAATTAACAAACAAATCACAATTCATATTTAATATATGCACCACTTTTTCTCTTTCTTTTAGTTCTCGTCTTTGTTGACAAGAGTACAATCCAAATTACACATGTTTTATAAACCCTTCTTTTAAAAAAAACACAAAGTTGTATGAAATGAATGAACGACTTGTCACAAGCCATAATCAAACCATGGCCCCTCCATGTGATGTGCTTTTGTTTCATGAATTTGAATTTCTAAAAAGAGTTATGGAGGCAAAGCTATCGGACATCCCAGTTATCAAAAAAAAAATACTAAAGGAGAGGCAATTAAGTTGTAAGCACCTGAATTTGATCTCCGATGTTGACGATGAAAGCATGTGGAGCTGGTTTTACAGTGATCCAGCTGTCGCCGCGACGAACTTGAAGGCCGGGGACATGGTCGTCGGGGAGGAGAAGGGTCATGCCACCGGGGTCCGAGTGAGACGACAGACCTAGGGTCAGGTCAGGTTGTGGACACTTTGGGTAGAAATTCACTCTTAGGCAAGCACCAATATTTGTCCCCCCAAATGCATTTTGCAGATAGTCCTCTCTCAATCCAAGGTTCTTAGAAAACACTTTCATCAAAACCCCACCTAGCTTCACCACTTGATCAGAATACTCTTCAATCACCTCCCTATATATATTCATCAACCATGCAATAATAATAATAATAATTAATATATGTAACTATAGATTAGAATTAATTAACTATAATTAACCATGCACTCTATATATAAGTTATTACTATAGCTATGCTTAGAAGCATTCTAAAACAGTAGCTAACTGACCATATATAGTTCATAAAGAAAGGACAACTTGTACAAGCATAAATAAATATATATATATGTGTGTGTGTGTGTATGGCAGTTAAACAGTCCATTTCAAAACTGCGTGGCCAAAAGAAACACAAAGAGTTTGAAATTTGTGTACCTGAGAGATTCTGGTTGGTCAGGCCATTTTTTATGATCTTTCAAACAAGTGGGAAGGTAGTGAAGGAAGTAGTAGTCACTCCAATCAAGAATGGCGCCTTTTTCGACACCTAACCGGCTTCCATACCCTTCGTATGTCTTGGGAGAGTTTGCGAAACTTTGCTTCAATTCCATGGGCATGTGGAAGAACTCGCGCCAAGCGGACCGGGCACGGTCCATGAGGTGAGGGCTCACTCCATGGTTCACAACTTGGAAAAAACCCCAGTTCCGGCAGGCGTCGGAGATTTGATCCAAAGTGGCTGCTGGAAGGGTGTCGAAGTTTAATCCGGCAAAATCGATCAATGGAATGTTGACATCATTCAGGACGTTCGAGTTTACGGTTGGCCTTAGTGCCTGCGGCTTGATATACCGGTCAGGGATTACGGGACTTTCGGATAAGGATTGGACACGGACTATTGGCTCAGGCCAATCTTTAAGGTTACTAGACATGACGCCTAGGTTTGGGTTCCAAGGTTGATTCTATAATCAAGTACCAAACAAACAAACAAGTCCTTATATTGAAAATTCAGAGAGAGAGAGAGAGAGACATAGAAAGATATAGAAAGAGAGATATGTATATATAGAGAGAGAGTTGGGAGTGGTATTATTATTTATCTATTCATTAAAATTATAATAATAATTAAAAATTATTGTAGTGGGGGCAATTCTGACAAGTGAAAAAGACATGAAAGAGAACGTGTAATATGTGTGATATTAAAATGTGGAAGAGAAGAGGAGGGTCTTTGTTAGTGTCTTGTTGTGTGCTATATCGTGGCTTGAAGGAGAGCTGTCAAGGGCCGACATACAAAAGTATAAATGGTACAACTATTTCATTTTGCTATATGTATGTATTGTATATATCACTCTGCATATATATGTATGTATTGTATATATCACTCTGCAGGGTGAACCAGTGATTTTAGTCCATTTCGGCGCCGTGAACTACTTGATTTACTCTCGTCCTTTCATTTTTTATCACCATTTTTTTTGTCACAGAACAAAAATGGACCTACTAGACTAAATCTTTAGTTAACTATTATAATTTTTTTTAATGTTGATATTTAATTCGTAATCATGACGTAGGGTTATATATAAATCATACATTACGTACACACTCACAAAATTAGTAGTGTAACTCACATTCTCACTCTGAGAGTGTTCAAATTATGGTTGTCTATCGTTTTTCAAATCTCAACCTTATCTTTTAACCAAAAAAAAAAAAAAAATCTCAACCTTATCTATTTTTAAAGATGTTGTCATTTGTTTTGTTTTTTCTCACAATATATATATATATATTTTTTAAAGAATTGAAAATTTAGCTCAAAATATATGTAAAATTGATCATAGGAGAAAAAAAAAAAAAAAAAAAACCCTCATATATATTTAAAAATTGTGAAAAAAAAGAAATAATATTAGAAAAGTGCTAAGAATAATGACTAACTATGTCGTGACTCGTTACTTCTCTTGAATTATTTTTGAAATAAGACAACTCCATATTAAAAAACTAAAAAAAAAAATTAAATATCTCAATGACATTGATAAGAGTCATGAAAACTATGGTCGATGTTACAATTAGTGGAATTTTCAACTCAAAGTCTCCCATTGGATGAAGGGTAATCATCACTTCTACAGAAACCAACGTAAATTGTGACCATAATTCACGTTACACACATTTCTCAATGATGATGATAATAATAATAATAATTCAGTGTGGAAAGTTTGATGGAAAAACACGAGAAAGTTACTATCGACTATTGATCCCATCTGTGCATGAAACAGACCTAAGTTAAAACGAACACTAACTGCTGGTAACCAACACATGAATTAATCACATATGCATACACCCAACCTATATATATAGTACGAGAAAGGCTAGCTATTAATTACTAGTATTAAACTGTTAATGATGAGAATGATACATTGTTTTTCTTCAACTAATGTTTGTTTATGCTCAATGGCTTTGACGTTCCTAATTAACATTCATCATAATCTAACATTATGACGCCACATTTATCGATTTATTTACATATTTACCGCACCCTACCACATCAACCTCACATTATCCCCACTCTTTCAATAATTTCAATCCTACTGAAAAAATAAATCAAGGTTTGCACTTGCGGGCAAAAACGTTGTCACTCAACGTCAAGAGAAAAGTTTTAATGCACCCAAATTATGTATGGCACCATATCACCAGTTATATACGTACACGTAATGATAAGACCCACTGAAATAGATGTCTTGATTATCAATCTTAACAAATTTTTTAATGTAACATATTTTTGTTTTTAACACATTAAATTTAACTGAAAGTGGGTAAATTTAATATATTGTGTTAATTTTTTTTTTCAATGATCAGAAGCAGGTAGATTTAATTTGTTAAAAATATATTTAATTCGTCCATTTGTTTTGTAACCCTCTTATCATTTAATCTCAAAGTGTAGCCCACAGGGTTTACTCTATGTAACCCACAGAGTTTTACATTAACGCACGTGGTCTGATGGTTGCACTAGGTACGATAGTTTTACAAACGTCAATCGCGCAATTAGTATCTGATTTTCTAATTTTTGCCAAACTTTTTTTTTTCATAAATTTTCTTTTCTGATGTGCAGATTCGTGATAATGATCTTCTAACAACTTAGTTCTAAAATACAAAGTAAGACCTATCAATCAAATGATAAGCACTGATAATCAGTAGTCTAGTAGTATTTTATCGTCTTCGAAAATCATGATTGAAAATAATTGTTGATGTCAAAAATCTACACGTTCCAGAATCGGTGGTGATTCCTGCAAAACAAGAGAAGTGATGACCGGCATGATACTGGCCGGGTGCACTCCGACGATCAAGTTAGTACTTGACGATATAATATCCGATAAGGATTACATATAAAATTTATGGCGTACCTTTTAGGTTGACTGATCATTTCTTTTATAGAAGCATTGATGGTAGTAGTTGTTGAAGCGAGATTCTCCCTGATCCAAGATGATATCGTTTCCTTCTTACAAGAATGGTAACTGTCGTTACATATGGTAACCAAATATTTTTTATAATTCCATAGAGATTTTGGGGAGTATAAATCCCTTACCCTTATCTTATTTTGACTTTGAGTTGCCAATTATTTTTATCCTCATCAGTTGCCCCCCATTCTTGTGCTTTCTTGTCAAGCATCGAGAATGTAAAAGTGTTTTTTGACCGACATCTCTTTGGTAGAAATCATTCTCTTTTTAGGTTAACCCTTGTTGGGCGACCTCTTTTTGGTTGACCTCTCTTACTCCTTTAATAAGGAAGCAGATTTGCCCGAACTTCACGAGCTGAGGGAGTAAGCTTTCTTAAGCTAAATGAGCTTACCTTTTAAAAAGGGAAGTATATTTACGAGTTTTACTCAGTTCGCCCCTTAAAAAGGAAAATATATTTTATGAGCTTTACTCAGCTCGCCCTTTAAAAAAGGAAGTATATTTTACGAGCTTTACTCAGCTCGCCCTTTAAAAAAGGAAGTATATTTTATGAGCTTCACTCAGCTCACCCTTTAAAAAGGGAAGTATATCTTACGAGTTGATTTTGACCCCTTTTAATACGAAGGACAACAATTACGAGCTTGATTCAGCTCGGGCCCTTATAGTACGGGGCACTTTTATATTAATCCCTTATAATACGTTCAACTCGTCCTTTAAAAAGAGAGTAGGTTCTCCAAGCTTCATGAACTTATCCTTTTAATATGGAAGGTTCATCCTCGAGATTTTTGTCACCTCATCTTTTTAATAAGAGAGACTAATTTTCTGTAGTTGCATGAGTTCATCTATTTGATAAGGAAGACTGATTTTCCAGAGCTTCGTGAGCTCGTATCTTTAATAAGAGAGGTTAATGTTCTGCCCCCATTCTCAAGCTTGTCTCTCACGTGCAAGGAACACTAATGTTCTCTTTCTATTTGCAAAGTTAGCAAAACAAAAATAGAGGAACAGTTTGAACGGATAATATATATATATATATATATATATATATATATATATATATATATATATCAGAATTGATACAACTAAGGCAAAGGCAAAAACTTATCATTGAGCATCATAGGACCAAAATCATTCATGGAGCTAGCGATTGTTCTCTAAAATAAGAGAGTGTAATCATGCTCTTTTTTAATATTTATTTTATGAGACTACTCACTCAAACAAAGTATGAGTTAGAGAATTTAAAATAAAGTTGCAATAACAAAAATCATTATGATTTGGTTTGTACCCACTCATATGATACCAAACAAAGAATTTGCATTTAAGAAAATTTAGATATAAAATGATTATGACCATTCAACATTGTCTTGGACACATTTTTTTTTCGTGAACAGTACCCGCGGATACTATTCCCGCGGGTACTATTCATGAGAACAGTACTCACAATTTTTTTTTTATATTTTTTTTTATTTTTATTTTTTTTGTGATGGATTAATTAAGAAATTAATAAAAATCCCATCTATGATTTTTTGGATACCAACGTTAAATCTATGATTTTTTTTTTTGGATGATAGTGCAGACCAAAAAATCTAACAGAATCATAAAGATTTATGTATCATGATTGCATCATGTGTGAAAATATATATACATATATAATATTGATATATATATATATATATATATATATATATATATATATATAATTTTTAATAAAGATTTAATTGTAAAAATTAAGTTGGAAAACTTATCTGATTAGAGACCTATCACCACGTTTTGTCTAAAAAGGAAAACATCAAATGGAAAAACTGTTACTATTGATGTCGACCGGGAGAGATGGGGTACTCTCTTTGATTGGATTGCTTGTCTGCAACTACCGATACCATCAATTGGAAAGAGATTTCGTCCACTGCTTCTTCAGGAATTCAGTAAGTATTATGCAACCATAATAATGTGTCAAGTAGGAGCTACTAAGAAGAAATCAAGGGCGGGTCCCAGTTGTCAACAAGAAGATGAAAAGCAATGGATCATATAAGCGTCATCCTCTATTATTCACTTATATTGATATGCTTGTGTTGTTGTCTTGTGAACAAGAGTGGGCTCACTGACTTCTTTTTGTGTGATAAATAGAATGAATTCTTTCGAGGTACGGACTAGTTAACTTGACGTGAAAGCCTGCTGCCCATGTTAGGAGGGTAGCCCAATGTATTGTCTAAAACAGTGGTGACTTATTTAATGCTTCAAGCCCTTGAGATAGAGCTTCCTCTGCCTCCAGATAATTGGTTTTAGATGGCGATGGTGATAGAGACCTGTCGGCACTATACTTGAGCCTTTTGAGAATAGATTTATTTTTTTAGACTAATAATGAACAAAACGTCAGAGTTAGCCAATAAACACAAATATCACTAAAAATATTAGGAAATTTTTTATCGTAACTTCTTTGGGGGAAATATAAGGAATTTTTGGATCATAATTTCTTTACGGAACTAACACACGTTTCCCACAGCTGGCGCCAACTGTTGATGCCAAAAATCTACACGCTCCGGAGTCGGTGGCGATTCTTGCAAAACAAGAGAAGTGATGACCGGCGTGGTACCGGCCGGGTGCA